TGCCCCTCCATTTTAGCAAGGGGCAAAAATGTTTCCTAAAACAATGAATAAACATCTGGGCTTTTTCCTTCTTGAGTACTGAAGAAAAAATTCAAAATTAAATATTGAGACTTTAATGACGAAAATTATAAAAAAATCTTTAGCTAAAATTGAACTAAAATTTTAAAATCCTACATAAAATTTTTTGAATACTATAAAAATTTTGTAAAAACAATATTAAACAGTTTGAATACTTTCAATTTTTCCCCTGATAGTATATTGTATATCTTAATTTAAGCCACCCCACAACTGCAGTTTTGATAAAACAAAAAAAATTTTCTCAAGAAAAGGTCAGGAACATTCTAAGGAACTTGGGAGTTTGTCTGGCAGGACATTGCCTTTTTTAAAAGGGTGAGCCTAGTAAAGTGTATTTTTCCCTGCCTTTAACCTTTTTTTCGGGAAATTTTTAACCTTTAGCTTAGTAAAATTTTTAAAAAAAGGGGTAAACTATGATTGAAATTTTTTAAAGGGGGTGGATGTTTCCCTGGGTTTCCCTGGAGAGAGTTTGGGGGGGGTCAACGCCCCCCGGCCGGTCTGTGCCAGGCCTCCTGGTGGATCAGGTGAAAACCAGGCTGTTGCTTGGCTGCACGCAAAACCAAACGTACGGCCACAGCCGGCGATCGGGAAAATCCCCTTTGGTGCTTGCCAGGCCAGTTTGGGAAGTTCCCAGGGGTGTTGGAAATCCCCCTTATTGTGCGGGGGGCAGTTGAACGCTCGGTCCCGGGGACCACTTATTTATGGTTTTAAGTGCTAGTGACCCCCCTGCTTTTCTTGGGGGGATGGTGCATTTCTGCCAAGTCTTTTGCTTTGTATGAGTGTTTTTTTGGCAAGTTCGGTATAGTCCCTCTAGGATTTTTCCAGGGTATTTTAATCATGTATCTCTCCCCCTGGTTCGGGAAAATTAAGGTTTAAAAACCTAACGCTCCAGTAATTGGGGTTTTTTTACTCCGTTATGCGCGCGGGGGAAAGTTCTCTTTTACATTTTCTAGGTCGGCAATTTCACTGCTTGAAAGGTGCTGTTAGAGTGCGAAATATTCAGCCTAGATAGAAAGTGACCTGAAGAGTTAATCAGGGGCTTGGCCCCCAGTTTTGAGGTTCTCATTACCCTTTTCCTGTCATTTTTCTGAGATGCGATTGATCAATGTTATGGTCCTTGAGGGGTGAGATCTCCGACATAATCATCCCAGGTCTTTGACGTTGGTGTTTCGCTCTATTTTGGGGCCAAAATTTGTTTTGTACTTGTGAAATTTAATTTCCTCATTTTTCCAATCTGAGTAATTAAAATTTTCATCGTTGAACTTCTATTTTTTTCTGCCCCCATGAAAGTTTTGGGTTGGGGAGGCCCGCTGGAGCCTTGCAGGTCTGCAATGGAAGCATGTCATGCGATTGGGGGTGTCTCTGCAAAGGAAGACACGGTGCTGTGGTGACTCTTGTTATGTCGGATTTGAGGTGGGGAAACAAGAGGGGAGCTGTACTGTCCTTGGGGAAAACAGGTTTTTTCAGTAGTGCCTGGCTTTTTTTCTGTTGAGCTTTCTCTGTGTTCTGTTGTGAGGAAATTATAGACCCACGAAAAACTTTTCCTGTTATTCCTTTAGCGCGATTTTGTGCGCTATTACGCCTGGTCACCTTGTCGAGGTTTTTGCAAAGTTGATATATTACATTGCATTTTTTTTTGTCTTCTAGGCTTTTTGGGGACCTTGTCGAAATTGACCCCGTGTTGAGCAGCAGGGCGACCTGTTCAAAAACCCATGTTGCCCTGGGTTGTGTAATGATGGTTTCTAGATGGGTGGTGATCTTGCTTCTTGGCCCTTTCAAAGATTTTTTGTATGGGATTTTTTGTGCTTTTGGTCTGTATTTCTTTGCGTTGCTTTCTCCCCCCTTTGTGGATGGGGGCTTGTCTGTTGTTTTTATAACTGGGGACGCCCCCCGTGTCCATGCTCCTCTCCATAGGAGGGAAAAGGCTTTTTGATGGGGCTTCTTGCATTTTGATGAAACGGTTTCCATGATTTGGGCCCCGGGGCAGAGGATGGGAAAGTCTTTTATCGCCTGTTCAAAGTCTTTTGGGCGTCGGATCTCGGATGGCTTGTTTTAAATAAATTTTTTTGGCTTTATAAAAAATTTCTTTTGTCTTCGATCTCAGTTTTTTAGCGGCTTGCTAAAAACTGAGTTATTGGGGCTTGGTGTCATCTTTCCCCTTGCTGCCCCGTGTAGGACCCCATCTTTTTAAGTAGGGGCCAATACGGACGTTGTTTCCGTTTTGATTTGGCATAGGAGAAGAAAATCTTTGGGTTTCTTTCGTTTCATTTTGGGCTTTTAGTTCTTCCGCGATTCTGACTCCCCTAAAGGATTCTTTTAGAAAGTTCATGCTTGCTATTTCTCTGCCCGTGTCCCCCTGCGATTTTGTTATATTGACCTCTTTTAGCGCCTGTTATTCTTTTCCGTCGCCTGTAAAGGGGGCCTGTCTTTTCATTTTACATCTATCCTCCTTTTTCTTAGAGGAATAACCCTTGGCATTCATCGAGTGCCCCCGGTAATTGTTCTGGTTAAGTTTGGGTCTGGGTTGCTTATATATTTCCCCAGCTTATATCGGTTAGGATTTGGGTTTCTTGGTCCCACTTTTTGTTTTTTTATTGAATTTGAATTTGGTGATCCCCCCTTTTGGATAGTCTCTTTTGTGGTTTGGGGTCCGCATACTTTTGAACCTCAATTTTTTGTGATTGAGTATATTGTTTTTGATATGGTGACTTTTCTTTCAGATATCATTTTATGAAGAGAGGTCTGTGTATTTCCAGTCTAGTAGGCTCTTTATTTGTGTTTAAATTAAATTTTGTGCAGAGATTAAAAGCTCGTGTGAGTGGAGTTTTCATCAAGCTCCCTCCTGGGGTTATTACTGAACAATATTATTTGTATTTTCCTCCATTTTGGTCCCTTTAATTGAAACCCCCCAGGGCAAAATGTTGGTGCAGGAGGGAAAAGATTTTCCAGACGTGGTCATTTTTAACAGCTTTTTGGAATTGTGGGATGTTGCACCGGAGGCTTGTAGACTACCCAATGACGGGTTTTGGGTTTCTGCCTTTACGCTAAAACTTCCACACTCATTTGAGGCTTTTAAGCAGTTCTGTGAAAAAAATGACTCTGAAATGTAAGGCAACCCCCCCCTTTTGCCTCGTCAGTCCTGAAGCCCAAAGCGGGTGATAATTAAGCCCATGTCAGGAAACATTGTCCTGTTTCCGACAAACCTTCCTTAGTAAGTTTATTTAAAGAACAGGTAAACAAGTACAATTAAAATACTAGTTTTAAATTACCAGGTAACACAAAAAGAGTCAGAAAGTGCTTTGTTTTATTGAGAAGTAGGGCCTAAATGATCTACAATGCCCCCAATAGACTATAGAGTCATTATTTTTAGGGGACTTCAAATATAAAGTCATCCTGTTGAGTACTTTGGTTTTATTAAAAACCCCAAAATTTAAAATCCTCTTTAAATTTCCCAGTCCTCAGGGTGTGGTGTGTCCGATCAAGGTAGTGAAGGCCCAACTATAAATCCTTACCTAACCTTGTAAAACCCCCGTGTAAAAAAAAAAAAAAATGATCTTGCAGAACAGGATATGATTAATGCACCCTAACTCCAATCCTAGAAGGTTTTTTGAGGGAAAAGTGATAAAAAAGAGTGGGGGAGCAAATTAGGTTGATGGGGGGGGCCCAAAAACTGGGAAACTAGAAACTCCCTACAGCCAAAATTTTTACTCTTCAGGGCATCATTTTAATTTTTATTTTGTTATTTTGGTGATACATTGATAAATAAAAATTTTCCAAAAAAAATTAGTTTTTTTCTGTCTTAGATGGTTTTTGGGGAAAGAAATCCAATAAAACGCGGGGGGACGCAAATATTTTAAAAAAAACTAAAGTAAAGTTAGGAAAGGGAAATTGGGGGATTTCATCGCTTGGGTTTTTGTCCAGAATTATAAGAAATGAAAAAAAAAAATAAAAACGGGCCTTAAATTGAAATAAAACCCTTTGGTTTTTTAAAAAAAGGCATTTACGAAAATAAGGGGGAGACTCCCCTTTTAAAAACCCCTTTTGTTTTTTTAAAAAAAAAAAATAAAAAGAAAAAAAGTTTGTGAACCCCAAAGGGAAAGGGAAATTAAAACCCAACCCAAAAGGCTTTAGGTCGTATACGAAAAAAGTTGTATATTTTTTGGGGAGGGGGGAAGGCCCTCTTGGCCTTCAGGAAATATAAGGGAAAGTTTTGGGGGTGGGGCCTAAGGGTATAAAAATTTTCCAAAAATACTCCATAATAAAGTTTTTTGACCCCTGCCCTACCCCATCCTTTACTTTCCCAACTTCTAATTTCTTGGTTTGTGTCCTGTTCGGACCAGGCCTCGGTTTGCGTTTCCCAGGGTAAATTTCCCCGACTGCCAGTTGGGATGGCCTTGCAAGGTAAATTTTTGGACCCTTATATATTTGGGAAAAGGGGTATTGTTTGATTCCCTACCCTCCACGGCCAATAAATTGTTTCAGTATGTCGGTCATCCCAAAAACCAAATTTCCCTGCGCCTAATGTTGTTTTTAAAACATTTTTTTTTAAATTTCCCCCAGGCCCCAAAAGGTTTCTTGTTTTATCCAATTTACCCACCCCTTTTAAAAAGAAATTCTTAATTTAAAAATTTGATTTAAAAATGTTCTTGGCGGCCGTGAGTGAAACTTTCCCTACAACTGTTAAAAAAAATTTTTTGGGCTAATAAATTTTCAAATGCCCGTAAAAAAGAACACTTTGAGTTTTTTAAAAACCCCCTTTTGTTTTTTTTTGTTCTTTGTTTTTTTGATAAAACCTTTTCTAATTTTTAATGTAAAGGTTTTCCCCACATTTTTTGGAACATCATTTGCGAAAACATTCTAGGGAGTTCCCCTCCCCAAAGGGGGATTTTTCCCGTAAAGGTTTCAAATATATTTAACTGCATACT